TTTATTCAAATATTAAATAATAATATTAAAATAAAATTAAACAATACCTAACAATTTAACAATTATATTTCGCATTACAGGCTTTTATACGTTCAAACTGATATATTAAATTATATATTTTGTGTTTTTCAAAATAAGGTCCCTTCAAATTTATATTACCCGCTATATAACGAATGTCGACATCTTAGGAAAATGGCGGAAATTAAACAGAATAAGCACTGCAACAGCTAACTGGAGTTTGCCTCCCATCAACTGTTTTGAACGTCGCCATTAAATTGGATTTTATTGTAAATATTGCGATGAGTGTGTAAGAAGTGAACAGTTTTTATAATAAGTGCAACAATGAATTTGTTTAAGGCATCAAATACTTGATAATATACCTCTGTAAGCTTTATCATACTCGGATGGAACCAAATAAGAAGCATCCGAGGCAAAAACAAATACATTTACCTTCAAAAATGCATCGACCAGGTAACAAGATTTACAAATTCTGAATGAAAATGTAAGAAGGTACTATTTGAAAAACAGTTAATTGTGAAAAAACTAGTTAACCTATTTTAAAAAGTTTTCAACTTCTTCGTTACGTCAGATGTCCGAAATAAGTTGACAGTTACTCGAGTAAATTCACAACAAAGTGTTTTATGTGCATGTCTTCTTTTAGTGTTGCTGTGTGAGAAGATTTCGCGCCACCAATTATCCTTACATTGCGTTTATAAATGTTTATATTTTGAGTTTACAAGTGGAGGTTAGGTTGTGTTTATTTTCGGTGTTGATAACGAAGACGTCAGATATACAAAAACATTTAACAATATCCAAAGCACTAAGCTTTAACCACCTTAATGAAAACTTAACATGCTTTATTGTAGATATGGTATTACTATACATGATGTTCGGGTGAGCTCAGAGCTTGTCCGTGGATATGGAGCGGGAAATACCGAGTGTTCCCATCACCACACTTGCAGGAGTGGCCAGTTTAACTGAACTGCTGCCAGAAATGCCACTTCCCACACCTCTTCCACAAACATTGAGTAACAAGTCATTACTCTTTCATCCAAGGGTTGCGGAAGAAGCCCAAAATTTGCTGGGAACTAAAGATGAAGTTCTTATACCTCAGTTGGTTCAGTCTTTATCCCAAACATCTTCACACTACATGTGAGTTGCATTTAAAAATGGTTTTTAACATTTTATATTTAAATATAAATGTAGTAGTTATTTAGAATACCCTTTAATAGCAAAAATTCAGTCATACATATCTTGTTGCAGCTAGCTTTCAGAATTGTATCTTTTTTGCTTTATTGTTTACTTTATTATTATGTTACAAGGTGTAGTGTTTATTTACTTAATGAGTTTTGATACTTTTATTGTTTTGTAAATGGAATAACTAAATGAAATAACTTTTTACATTACTTTTTAGAGAGGTGAAAGATATTTATGCAGGTTTGGAACAGCAGCAAATTGAACAACAAGAAAATGCTCCTGAACTTTTAAAGGCAGTATTAACTGCAAACCCGAGTCTTTTTACTTCTGTTACTGGTAGGTATATATATTTATTTGTATAAACATTTTAATTTTCAACTGATTACTCGTAGGTTCTCAAGTTGGTCAGGATCACTCGGTTTTTGTAAAAAAAGAAATAAAACAAGAGAAACCAGAAACACCAAGTACTTGTTCTACTTCATTCAAACAAGAGGTTACACCAAGTACTTGTTCATTCAAACAAGAGGTTTTAACCGTTAATAAAGAACAACAAACGAATAATGAGGAAAAACACTCAAAAGACACTCAAACTTATAGTGGAAGTGAAACATTGCCGTCTGATTTATTTTTACCTGCCACTGATGTATCCCAAATAGGTGAACTATCAACCCAGTCACAACAGCAGCAGATGCCTTCGAGACCGTCCGTTATTACAGCACAGGCAACTACCCAAACAATTACTCAGAGCCAAGTATCACAATCAGAGCAATCTCAACCAAAAAGGGAGTCTTCCACAACAGAACAACTTCGACAGCTAAGGCGCACTACAATTACTAAGGAACCAATAGAAATAGTAATTCAGGATGAAGAAACGCAAACAACACCGACACCGCTTACACCTGCATCAGCTCAAACAAATCACATAAAACAAACAACATCTAGCAGTCAAACAACACCTAATACAACACCCACCCCAACACCTATTACAATAAAACAGCCTGTTGTAAAACTGGACCGAATATCAGAGGATGATCAGATGCTTATGCAAATTAGCATATCAAAATTTGCAGAGTGCAGACCTGATTTGGCTAAAGAATTAGGAATTGTGCCTAAGCAGGAACTTGAAGATCCTGAAAGTGAAGGTAGTCAAAAAAAAAACTCAAAATTAAAAAGGCGTGCCGCGGGCGCAGACGAAGACGCTGATTACATTCCCGACGAATTTTCTGCACTTGTGGGCAGCACAAAAAGAAGAAAAACCGTGATAAAGGAAGAAAAACCGGAACCGATCATGGTAAAACCAAAACTAAGAAGGGTGGAGAAGAAATTTGTCCCAGTTCTCGAGAAACTTTCTACTGAAGAGCTTATGGAGACAAATACTTACCACCGATTTAACAAATCAATAGAACATGTGTTAAAAAATCAGGAGGATATAGATTGTCCGGAAATTTCTGAAGATGGCATTGTCCAAGATGAATATCTTCTTAACAGAGTGACAATGAAAGAACTTGTTACTGAAGCAGCTAAATTGAAAAATTTAGGTGCTACAGAAATGATTCCAACTGATAAATTGGTAAGACTGTTAAATGTAATGGAATTAAACATAAGGGGCGGTGACCGCGTTTCTCCCATAACTGATGAAGATAATGAAAGTATTCGTCAATTATGGATGGAAACAACCATGGACAGGGTCATGGGAGCTGCCGATGCTTGTTTAGTTTCTCTTTATCTCATGACTTCATCAAATATGCCCAAAAGGGTGTATTTAGAGGATGTCATAGACAGGGTGGTGCTGTATATTAAATACCAATTGCATAACACGATTTTTCCTTCTTTTGATTCCACCTACAGGCTGGACAATAAGAAAAAGGACGGTCGTAGAAAGAAAAATGCCCAGGTGTCAGAAAAAAGTATACTGGTTTTGTACAATAAAATGTCAGAGCTAATTAACTTGTTAGCAGAACTGCTCAGTATTCAGGTATTAACAGATACGTCTGTTCTTCACGCGTCTTCAATGGGCGTGTCACCATTTTTCGTGGAAAATGTCAGTGAACTTCAATTAGCATGTTTAAAGTTAGTGACAACTATTTTCACGCGCTACGAAAAACATCGCAGGCTACTACTAGACGATATTCTTGCCTCTATTGCTCGTCTTCCGAGTACAAAGCGTAGCCTTAGGACTTACAGGCTCAGTGGTGACGAACATATACAAATGCTTACGGCATTGGTTCTACAGTTAATTCAGTGTGTTGTGGCGCTTCCAGAGAACATTACTAAACCGGATAAACAGTCTGAAAATTCGCACCCAGTTGACCAAGACGTATTGATTTGTAATAAATATGAAAAGGCTACGACCACGGCTGGAACTTTCTTGGCGGTTTTTCTAAGTAAATGTGGCAGCAAATCTGAAGACATTGATTATAGACCTCTCTTTGAAAACTTTGTCCAGGATTTGCTTGCAACTGTTAATAAACCAGAGTGGCCAGCCACAGAACTATTACTTAGCCTTTTAGGAAAAATGTTGGTCAAAAACTTTTCAAATAAAGGAACCGACATGTCCCTAAGAGTAGCTAGTTTAGACTACTTAGGTGTTGTAGCTGCCCGCCTTCGTAGAGACAGCATTGTATCGAACTGTAAAGTTGATACAATAGATCAAATGATAAGAGACATTAAGCTAGAAGAGTCTAAAGATAGTGACGAGGCGTTATTAAAGAAAAAGAAAGAAAAATTGGACATCGAAGAGGACAGACTTCGTTTTTTGCAGGGTGTACTTCTTGACTTTTTAGCTGTGAGTGGTCAAACTGACGAAGCTCATCGTCACGCAAGACATTTTTATATAGCTCAGTGGTATAAAGATGCAACAAACGAAAAATCCCGCGTTGTTTCTGAGAAAACTAACGCTAAAGAAAACCACAGATCTCGTTCAAGGAAAGGAATAAACGACGTTGACAATTCTGATTCAGAAGATAACGAAGCAAGAGACATATCAACTGATCAGGAACATGCAGAAAAGTTTCGTATGTTGGAAGACAGAAAGAAGTTCCTTATCAACAAAATACGTCCCTTCCAAGAAAAAATTTCTTCCGGTAATCGTGTAAAAGTTTTCGAAACTTATATTGATTACAGTAGCGCAGAGCTAATTGCTCAATACCTTGCTTCGAAAAGATACTTCTCTCAAAGTTTTGACCAATATCTTAAAGCTGTAAGTGAAGTGCAATCGTTTTCACTTAATACTATTCTTTAAAAATGTTAATATTTTACAGATTCTTATAGTGCTGAAGGAAACATCTATAGCAATTAGAACAAAAGCGATGAAATGCCTCGCGTCTATAGTAGAAGCTGACCCGTCGGTTTTGGGAAGACATGACATGCAAATGGGCGTAAACCATTCTTTTCTTGACCACGCCACTTCTGTTAGAGAAGCAGCAGTTGATCTTGTTGGTAAATTTGTTCTAAGTCGCCCAGAGTTGATATCGAAATATTACGAAATGCTCTCTGCGCGTATCTTGGATACTGGTGTGAGCGTTAGAAAGCGTGTCATCAAAATTTTAAAAGACATTTGCATCGAATGTCCGGATTTTCCAAAAATTCCGGAAATTTGTGTTAAAATGATACGCAGAGTTAATGATGAAGAGGGCATAAGAAAATTGGTAATGGAAGTATTTCAAAACATGTGGTTTACCCCCACCAAGGATTCGTCTCTTTTACGTAAAGTAATGAATATTACAGATGTTGTTGCTTCAGCTAAAGACATTGGATTGGAATGGTTTGAGCAGCTTCTGATTAGTGTAAGAAATGCTTCTTGATTTCATGATTTTTTTATTTCATTCAATTAATAACATTTTAGTTGTTTAAACCAAAAGAAGATAAAGACGATTCTACCAAAATTCCGACAGAACCATCGAGAACGTTAATTTTAGCTTGTACCCAGANATATTATATTTTTTTATTAATGTCCCCTTTTAAATAACGATTATTTCTGATATAATAGTAATCAATACTTTAGTAAAAAGGGTAGATCAGTTAAATTATACAACAAATGGTGTGGTGTATATAATTTTTTGGTATATGAGGTTACGACTGCGCAATAGTCCGAATTAATTAAAAATCTACCAATACGAAATTATTTTGTTCGTATAACGAAAGTCGAGAACCAAACGCGAACTTCATAATTATAATATGATAAATGCTTGTAGTGGTTTGAACCCACCAAAGTGTCATAAGACAATATATTTCTCGTAGAGAAATTAAAACTGATTCAAGTAGTATCCAGTGGTGATTGGAAATGAATACACCCCCTAGGGGTTGAAGTCTCGCAAGACCCCTGCGGCAAGTCGTTGGGACTCATTATTTACCATGCCTTTGCCAAGACCGAATACCGCTAGCAAGGCCAGAGCTTCGATCTCTAAAACCGCATTACCGGTAGATCAATCACAATAATATGCTCTCTCTCGACCTGAAGGAACTAACTACTCTATCGTATATAGAACAGGTATTATATCATTATGGTATACATACATTTATAATATAAGAGATACATATATGTACGTACACATCGAATAGTTGTACTACATGTAGATTTCGCTTTTTATATGGTGGGAGATACCAGTGGATATTTAAAAGCAAAAAAGGAGGAAGTTAACTTGGGAGAGGATTAGTAGAATGCTATTGGAAAAGGTATATATGGAATCAAAAGTTAGGTATTTTTGAAACACTATTTTAAAATGGTGTCGTCAACACACAACAGAATCTAGAAAAATACCAATATATAAAATGTTTAGACACCAATAAGGTTTTTTGTAAATCTATTTATTTAGTGGATTAATACAATATTCAGATGTATTAACTTATAGCAACTGGCAGGTATATGAAGGTAATTCTGATGAAGGGATTTTTTGTGTTTTACAAGGTATGACTAATAAGTGAAGCCTGTTTCGGTATCTATACCAAAACATAAAATATTTAAATATGTTTACCTGGTATAAACTGGCAGGTATATAAAAAGTGAGGCAATAAATTTGTGGTTTCAAATGTTGCCCTTTTTGTGAGTTTTAGGAGATATAACGAATAATTGAGATCTAATAGGTATCTNCAATGAATTTGTTTTAGGCATCAAATACTTGATAATATACCTCTGTAAGCTTTATCATACTCGGATGGAACCAAATAAGAAGCATCCGAGGCAAAAACAAATACATTTACCTTCAAAAATGCATCGACCAGGTAACAAGATTTACAAATTCTGAATGAAAATGTAAGAAGGTACTATTTGAAAAACAGTTAATTGTGAAAAAACTAGTTAACCTATTTTAAAAAGTTTTCAACTTCTTCGTTACGTCAGATGTCCGAAATAAGTTGACAGTTACTCGAGTAAATTCACAACAAAGTGTTTTATGTGCATGTCTTCTTTTAGTGTTGCTGTGTGAGAAGATTTCGCGCCACCAATTATCCTTACATTGCGTTTATAAATGTTTATATTTTGAGTTTACAAGTGGAGGTTAGGTTGTGTTTATTTTCGGTGTTGATAACGAAGACGTCAGATATACAAAAACATTTAACAATATCCAAAGCACTAAGCTTTAACCACCTTAATGAAAACTTAACATGCTTTATTGTAGATATGGTATTACTATACATGATGTTCGGGTGAGCTCAGAGCTTGTCCGTGGATATGGAGCGGGAAATACCGAGTGTTCCCATCACCACACTTGCAGGAGTGGCCAGTTTAACTGAACTGCTGCCAGAAATGCCACTTCCCACACCTCTTCCACAAACATTGAGTAACAAGTCATTACTCTTTCATCCAAGGGTTGCGGAAGAAGCCCAAAATTTGCTGGGAACTAAAGATGAAGTTCTTATACCTCAGTTGGTTCAGTCTTTATCCCAAACATCTTCACACTACATGTGAGTTGCATTTAAAAATGGTTTTTAACATTTTATATTTAAATATAAATGTAGTAGTTATTTAGAATACCCTTTAATAGCAAAAATTCAGTCATACATATCTTGTTGCAGCTAGCTTTCAGAATTGTATCTTTTTTGCTTTATTGTTTACTTTATTATTATGTTACAAGGTGTAGTGTTTATTTACTTAATGAGTTTTGATACTTTTATTGTTTTGTAAATGGAATAACTAAATGAAATAACTTTTTACATTACTTTTTAGAGAGGTGAAAGATATTTATGCAGGTTTGGAACAGCAGCAAATTGAACAACAAGAAAATGCTCCTGAACTTTTAAAGGCAGTATTAACTGCAAACCCGAGTCTTTTTACTTCTGTTACTGGTAGGTATATATATTTATTTGTATAAACATTTTAATTTTCAACTGATTACTCGTAGGTTCTCAAGTTGGTCAGGATCACTCGGTTTTTGTAAAAAAAGAAATAAAACAAGAGAAACCAGAAACACCAAGTACTTGTTCTACTTCATTCAAACAAGAGGTTACACCAAGTACTTGTTCATTCAAACAAGAGGTTTTAACCGTTAATAAAGAACAACAAACGAATAATGAGGAAAAACACTCAAAAGACACTCAAACTTATAGTGGAAGTGAAACATTGCCGTCTGATTTATTTTTACCTGCCACTGATGTATCCCAAATAGGTGAACTATCAACCCAGTCACAACAGCAGCAGATGCCTTCGAGACCGTCCGTTATTACAGCACAGGCAACTACCCAAACAATTACTCAGAGCCAAGTATCACAATCAGAGCAATCTCAACCAAAAAGGGAGTCTTCCACAACAGAACAACTTCGACAGCTAAGGCGCACTACAATTACTAAGGAACCAATAGAAATAGTAATTCAGGATGAAGAAACGCAAACAACACCGACACCGCTTACACCTGCATCAGCTCAAACAAATCACATAAAACAAACAACATCTAGCAGTCAAACAACACCTAATACAACACCCACCCCAACACCTATTACAATAAAACAGCCTGTTGTAAAACTGGACCGAATATCAGAGGATGATCAGATGCTTATGCAAATTAGCATATCAAAATTTGCAGAGTGCAGACCTGATTTGGCTAAAGAATTAGGAATTGTGCCTAAGCAGGAACTTGAAGATCCTGAAAGTGAAGGTAGTCAAAAAAAAAACTCAAAATTAAAAAGGCGTGCCGCGGGCGCAGACGAAGACGCTGATTACATTCCCGACGAATTTTCTGCACTTGTGGGCAGCACAAAAAGAAGAAAAACCGTGATAAAGGAAGAAAAACCGGAACCGATCATGGTAAAACCAAAACTAAGAAGGGTGGAGAAGAAATTTGTCCCAGTTCTCGAGAAACTTTCTACTGAAGAGCTTATGGAGACAAATACTTACCACCGATTTAACAAATCAATAGAACATGTGTTAAAAAATCAGGAGGATATAGATTGTCCGGAAATTTCTGAAGATGGCATTGTCCAAGATGAATATCTTCTTAACAGAGTGACAATGAAAGAACTTGTTACTGAAGCAGCTAAATTGAAAAATTTAGGTGCTACAGAAATGATTCCAACTGATAAATTGGTAAGACTGTTAAATGTAATGGAATTAAACATAAGGGGCGGTGACCGCGTTTCTCCCATAACTGATGAAGATAATGAAAGTATTCGTCAATTATGGATGGAAACAACCATGGACAGGGTCATGGGAGCTGCCGATGCTTGTTTAGTTTCTCTTTATCTCATGACTTCATCAAATATGCCCAAAAGGGTGTATTTAGAGGATGTCATAGACAGGGTGGTGCTGTATATTAAATACCAATTGCATAACACGATTTTTCCTTCTTTTGATTCCACCTACAGGCTGGACAATAAGAAAAAGGACGGTCGTAGAAAGAAAAATGCCCAGGTGTCAGAAAAAAGTATACTGGTTTTGTACAATAAAATGTCAGAGCTAATTAACTTGTTAGCAGAACTGCTCAGTATTCAGGTATTAACAGATACGTCTGTTCTTCACGCGTCTTCAATGGGCGTGTCACCATTTTTCGTGGAAAATGTCAGTGAACTTCAATTAGCATGTTTAAAGTTAGTGACAACTATTTTCACGCGCTACGAAAAACATCGCAGGCTACTACTAGACGATATTCTTGCCTCTATTGCTCGTCTTCCGAGTACAAAGCGTAGCCTTAGGACTTACAGGCTCAGTGGTGACGAACATATACAAATGCTTACGGCATTGGTTCTACAGTTAATTCAGTGTGTTGTGGCGCTTCCAGAGAACATTACTAAACCGGATAAACAGTCTGAAAATTCGCACCCAGTTGACCAAGACGTATTGATTTGTAATAAATATGAAAAGGCTACGACCACGGCTGGAACTTTCTTGGCGGTTTTTCTAAGTAAATGTGGCAGCAAATCTGAAGACATTGATTATAGACCTCTCTTTGAAAACTTTGTCCAGGATTTGCTTGCAACTGTTAATAAACCAGAGTGGCCAGCCACAGAACTATTACTTAGCCTTTTAGGAAAAATGTTGGTCAAAAACTTTTCAAATAAAGGAACCGACATGTCCCTAAGAGTAGCTAGTTTAGACTACTTAGGTGTTGTAGCTGCCCGCCTTCGTAGAGACAGCATTGTATCGAACTGTAAAGTTGATACAATAGATCAAATGATAAGAGACATTAAGCTAGAAGAGTCTAAAGATAGTGACGAGGCGTTATTAAAGAAAAAGAAAGAAAAATTGGACATCGAAGAGGACAGACTTCGTTTTTTGCAGGGTGTACTTCTTGACTTTTTAGCTGTGAGTGGTCAAACTGACGAAGCTCATCGTCACGCAAGACATTTTTATATAGCTCAGTGGTATAAAGATGCAACAAACGAAAAATCCCGCGTTGTTTCTGAGAAAACTAACGCTAAAGAAAACCACAGATCTCGTTCAAGGAAAGGAATAAACGACGTTGACAATTCTGATTCAGAAGATAACGAAGCAAGAGACATATCAACTGATCAGGAACATGCAGAAAAGTTTCGTATGTTGGAAGACAGAAAGAAGTTCCTTATCAACAAAATACGTCCCTTCCAAGAAAAAATTTCTTCCGGTAATCGTGTAAAAGTTTTCGAAACTTATATTGATTACAGTAGCGCAGAGCTAATTGCTCAATACCTTGCTTCGAAAAGATACTTCTCTCAAAGTTTTGACCAATATCTTAAAGCTGTAAGTGAAGTGCAATCGTTTTCACTTAATACTATTCTTTAAAAATGTTAATATTTTACAGATTCTTATAGTGCTGAAGGAAACATCTATAGCAATTAGAACAAAAGCGATGAAATGCCTCGCGTCTATAGTAGAAGCTGACCCGTCGGTTTTGGGAAGACATGACATGCAAATGGGCGTAAACCATTCTTTTCTTGACCACGCCACTTCTGTTAGAGAAGCAGCAGTTGATCTTGTTGGTAAATTTGTTCTAAGTCGCCCAGAGTTGATATCGAAATATTACGAAATGCTCTCTGCGCGTATCTTGGATACTGGTGTGAGCGTTAGAAAGCGTGTCATCAAAATTTTAAAAGACATTTGCATCGAATGTCCGGATTTTCCAAAAATTCCGGAAATTTGTGTTAAAATGATACGCAGAGTTAATGATGAAGAGGGCATAAGAAAATTGGTAATGGAAGTATTTCAAAACATGTGGTTTACCCCCACCAAGGATTCGTCTCTTTTACGTAAAGTAATGAATATTACAGATGTTGTTGCTTCAGCTAAAGACATTGGATTGGAATGGTTTGAGCAGCTTCTGATTAGTGTAAGAAATGCTTCTTGATTTCATGATTTTTTTATTTCATTCAATTAATAACATTTTAGTTGTTTAAACCAAAAGAAGATAAAGACGATTCTACCAAAATTCCGACAGAACCATCGAGAACGTTAATTTTAGCTTGTACCCAGATAGTCGATTGTTTGATTGAAAATGTCATTCGGCTCGAGGAGACCCATAACAGTAGCGGATCTTCTCAAAGGCTAGTAGCTTGTATGACTACGTTGTATTTGTTTGCAAAAATAAGGCCACAACTCTTGGTCAAACATGCAAGTACATTACAGCCATATCTTAGCCTGAAGTGTCAGTCACAGGGTGACATCCAAATTGTTAGTAACGTGGCAAGAATGCTAGAACTGGTGGTGCCACTTATGGAGCATCCTAGTGAAACTTTCCTCGCCCAATTGGAAGAAGATTCTATGAAACTAATTTTGTATCATGGAAGGCCTGTTGTTGCAAGTTGCCTTTCTTGTCTTGGATCAGTTGTTAATAACGTTACAAGAAACTTCAAATTGATAAGAGATTGCTTTAAAAGGTTCTATGATTGCTTGAAAGTCTGCAAAACATATTTTGAAAATGGGAATTCAGGTTATATTTTAGAAAATGTAAAACATCGCCAATATTTTAGAAGAGCACTGTATACAGTTGGTCTACTTTTAAGACATTTCGATTTCAAAGATCCTGAAGTTATAGGAGATTTTCCTGTAAGTTAATATTTATTATTTCTTCGTTCTTATTTTAAACATGAAGTTACTTATTACAGCCGGATATCAAAGATCAAGTATTTCAAACGCTAATGTATTTTTTACAACAAGAAGACACAGATCTTCAAGCGTATACACTAAATGCTATTGGATCTATTTGCATAAGACACTACGAATTTATGCTGGAGAATGAGCTTAAAACGTTTTATCATCGTATGCTTACTTCAGAAGATGCACCTCTTATAATGAAATCGGAAGTTCTAGTCAATATTGAAATGTATTTGATAGAAGAAGAACGTAGAATGATTCAACAAGATATGGAATGTAAGTTTATTTAATTTAAATGCTATGTCATTGTGCATAGTGTTATAAGAAAAACTTTGTAGGGTCTAAACGTTCAAAGCAGGAAAACTTGAAAGAGATGGGAGACATATCTTCTGGAATGGCTAGTACAGTGATTCAATTATATTTAAAAGAAATTTTGCAGTCTTATTTACATTCCAATTTACAAGTCCGTCAGCCAGCTCTGCGTGTAATTCAATTAATTTTACAGCAAGGTTTGGTGCATCCTGTACAAATAGTTCCCTATTTAATTTGTATGAGTACAGATTGTGAAAAAGTAGTGTCTCACAGTGCCGACAAACAACTTCTAGAAATCGAGAAAAAATATCCTGGATTTATTCATACTAAATCATCATTGGGTATCAGATTATCTTATCAATTGCAAAAGATTTTACAGGCGGAGAAAATCGTACGTGGGTTTAAGATAAAGGAAAAGGGAGAATACCCCACCGGACTCAACGGTTACCTCTATTCTATTCTTAGAAATTCTAGACAACAAAGACGTGCCTTAATTCTTAATATTTTAAAGCAATTTGATGAACAAGTGGTAAGAATTTTATACAATCAAAACCATGTCTAACTACTAACATTTTCTTTTTCAGCATACTACTTTATCATATATGTTGTACCTGGCTGATAATTTAGCATACTTTCCCTACCAGGTTCAAGACGAACCCCTATTTATCATTCATCATATTGACATAATGATCTCTGTATCCGGCACTAATCTTTTGCAATCGTTTCGCGAAGGTTTAATAATGACTGACGCTCAGCAAAAAGTTATTGAAGAAGGGCAGAATGACGCTAGTACCAATTTAATATCAGCTTTGGATGAAGAGGATGATGATGAGGTCACACTCCTAGCAAGAGTACCTGAAGATGCTTCACATCTTCAAGCATGCATTACAGCTGCGCAAGGTTGCCTTCTCCTTCTTATGCTTAAGCAACATCTTAAAGATGTCTATGGCCTCAGTGATGGGTAAGTTACATAGAAATAAGTCTGTCGTTATTTTTAAATAATAATAATTGTTTTTGCAGCAAAATTCAACAATACTCCCCATCAGAGCCGGCTAAGGTTTACGAAAAGGCTACAAATCGCAGAAGTAACACACATTTCAACCCTAAAAGTACAATAAATAAACTGAAAGAAGGAACTCCCACCAAGTGCTTAGATGAAGATGGAAGAAAAGATCTAATAAATCAGTACTTAGATGTCAGTATCATAAATTATTTCGTTCTTTTTAGTAATATCCAGGTATGCTCCTTTCTTTTTTTATAGTTCAAACAGCTTATGCTAAAATTGGACCCCGATGATCCTGACGATGACGAAAACAACAAAGTCTTAATGGCTTTAAGTTCGGGAAATCCGACTCCTGCAGTTAACTCCTTGGACCCTACGACGCAAAGCACAATTCTTACTGAAGCTGACCAAGTGACGTTAGCAAATTATAAGGTAAACAATAAATTTTATTAACATAATCATTTTTCTTATCCTCGTAGGCTTGTTTACATTTTTAAATTGACGTATTTAATTGAAAACAGAATCGTACTATTTTAATTTCAAAAAGTCAAAACAAAATAGCTCATCTTTTTATTGTTGGTCGGAATTATATATGGCCTGACCAACGTTGAATTAAAATAATTTTAACATTGAAGTCAGAAATTATTAATTATTGTCTAACAAACGATTAACTGAATCAATTAATTTGCTATCCTCACTTTATTGCGTTTTGGTACTTGGGACTGTACAGTGTGTTTAAAATTATTTTTTTTTTTGCTCGAAAGTCTCAATGCACATATAGTTTACCATTTTTGTCAATCACTACCAAGTCTCAATTAAAAGATAAATTGCCACGTTTGATATTTATTGTATTAAATAGGCTACAACACCACCAAAAGTGCCCAAACTTATAATCTCAAATCGGAGACTTGATAGTGATAATAGACGAACCCCGCGAACTCATAAAATGGACAAGAATAAAAAACATAAACAAAAAAAGCGAAGACGGAAACTAATGAGCTCATCAGGTGATGAAAGTGAAAATGACTATAGTGATCCGGACTTCATGGCCTAGCCAGTGGTGTACAGTGATCATAGCATAATTGTAATAATATCGGCTAAAAATTAAGAATTTTTATAATTAAGATTAATTTCGTCAGTTTTTGTAAATTAAAAATCATCCGTCAGGATTAAATTTCAGTAATTCATTTACATTTCATCAACAAAAACCGTTTCATTATGAAGAAATCATTGCATTAATTTGTTTATAATTTAGAGATTTTATTTTGTGTTATGGTTTCTTCGGTGTTAAAAAGGTATAATTCGTTATTTCCTATAAGTGAAGTTCTCTAAAACGTTTTTATTTTATTTATCTATACACATATTTACTATACTTCCTGTCTTTTTCTTATTTTATTCTACATGAGACATATTTATTATTTGTATTATACAGGAAGTATTGTTATAGTTTTTTTTTCTTAATGACGATTAAATTTTATGTTACACATTAATTTGCTTTAGCATTATTATGATATGCTTTGCATTAAAAAAACAAAAAAAAAACAACAATAATGGGAAACTCACTTATAGAAAACAGCTTTCCGTTTACATATTCTAGTAATTCATTTTTTTTTCTCGAAAATTCAAGGCCGCAAATTGTGAATATCAGTGTTATTTTTATACAAATCGTTATTTAAAGTTAACTGTTTAGGAAAATGCTCCCATCATAATTGATTACGATTAAGAGTGTTGCTACTTTTGAAATGAAACATAAGAAAAATTATGTACATTATAAACAGCGGAATGCACTTTTGCGTAAAAACAAAACTGTGAATTATATATTGTATACATCGCATCCTGTAAATTAACAACAATTTTTCTCTTACATGAAATTCTCATGATCATGAGGTTACTTTAAATAACCTGTGAAAATTGATTGATTTACCTACATTGTATTATTATTCTACAAGCAATTTTTATTTTGATGTGATTATATTTTTTAATTGTTTCTATATTTAAAAAATTATTTAAATTTCATACGAAGCAAAAATTAAGTCTCTCATAATGTATGTTCCTAGTAATACATAAACATTATAATAATTTTACAGCAATTTAGCTTTTATTTTCTGAAACTATAATTTATTTAGAAATGGCTATTGCCTGTATCATTTTTATTGTTTATTTTTATTTTAATTTCATATCTGCGCGACAAAATAATTATTTTATAAATTATGAAGTTCTGGAAGTTCATATGTTTGTCTTAAACATATAAGGTAGTACACAAAATAATGCGCAGACAAAATTGAAATTTATGAATTAATTGTGATTTTATTTTTCATTTCTCTGCTTGAGAGATATTCTTTCGTTATTCATTATATTATTAATTAATACAAAAAGTGCTTCAG